GAAAGAGGGGAGACATGGCAATGAAAACCACTGCGTTAAAAACTGGGGGGAGGGGCAGGCACACGGGCCCCAAGGGGTCTGCAGCGCTCACACAGCCAGCCCTGGGCTTCCACACGCAACGTCAAGGAAAGAAACTTGTTTTTTAGAGTCCCTCGATTTAGCAGCCGCTTCACGTTGTTTTTAGGTACCATCTTTATCCCTTCTGCCGAGGGGAAGGGGAAGGAGGAAGTGGGGAGGTAGACGCACACATGTTAGCAGGTCCTTAATTTAGCAGAGCATTTAGGGGACAACTGTCATGGTTGAGCTTTGCAGTGAACATTTCCAGTCCCTACTCCACCAATGCTTCGAAGCAACTTTCACCTGCTGTTTAATCAAGACGTGCACCGTTTTTCACGTGGAGGATAAAGAAACGGCTGAGAGGAGGTGAGAACGTGCTCCCCTCCGGTGTGTGTACCCTGAAATGGGCCAGTAACCCATTCTCCAAAACTCGGGGTCCAGCTGCCTCGACAGGCTGTCCTTTCCCTTGCACCCAACCCTGCAATCAGATGATAACCCCCTCCCCCCGCCTTGAACTACTGCTGGCGATTATAAACACGGGAGACAGATGGGCAGATCTGTTTTCAAGGTCCTAAAGGAGGTGTCATCTCTGAGCCGGTCCCCCACAGGCCCATCTCTCTGGGCCACACTCTGCATGCTTCCCTGGGAGTCTGGTTCACTCCTTTGTCACCGGGGGCCTTTAAAACGGCAGCAGCAGCAGCAGCAGCAATAGCAGCAAAAGTAACGCATCCGTTCGCCAGACAACTCACAAACACCTCTCCTTAAAAAGAGTGAGGCAAAAAGCTTCCCTCAAGAAGAAGGTCAAACACTGCTGTTCCCTGCAAAATTCACATTTAGAAACGGTACTCACAGGCCGAAAAAGAAAAGAAAAAAAAGGAACAACTTAAGTAGCCTTTCTTTAATGACTCTAAGGCTACGATGAGAGAGAAAAACGGTCTCGGTAAATTAAACAGGAAAAAGTGCTGTGCCATACTTTCCAATGTTTAAAACAAGTTTATGTTGAGAAACATAAAAGCAACAGGCACATCCTCTCAAACACTATAACCTGACACCACACAGCGTTCCGAGCTGGGCTGCCTATTCCGTATGCATCACCCTATGGACAACGTCACGGCAACACTACAACGTGGAGGCTGTCACTGCCCCTCCCAGACGAGGACGGGGCGCTTGGGAATCTTGCCGCAAGACAGAGCTTGCAAGACACAGAGGAAGAATTCAAACCCAGGTTCAACGTAGTGCTTCCTAGTTTCCCATCACTGTGACCGACACCCCCAGAAAATTTTGAAGCTGCAGGAATGCAAAAGCAAGCAGATCATGACCGCCCCCCCCCCGCCCCCCCCCAGGACCCTCCTCGCAGAGATGAGCCCTCTCAGCATGACTCCTCGCACACATCTAGGCACGGACACTCGGCTCTGTCACCGCACAGCCGTCCGGCACGGCAACAGTTAAGGGGCCCTCGGCTAATAAATCAAAAGTTCAAGGCTGCAACATACCACAGTGATTCCCTCTTTACGTATGACAAGAACCAGAGAGGGGCTGAAATCCCAAGCATCCTGCGCGGGGCTCCCCGGCCAGCACAGGTTACACCGCCAGGGTCAGGGCCGCGGACCTTTAGCAGCAACATTCATTTCCTGAACAGGACAAGTTCTCCTGACCATAAAGCTAATAGGAACTTCCTCGCACGGCGAGCCCCGGCTGACAGGGCTACTTGTCACTGGCCACGCAGGAGGAGAGCGCTGGTTCCCATTAGTGGGTTATGATGCCAGGTGCTACTAATAAGGTACATCGGCAAGAAACAAGGGCCTGCTAAGTTGTCTCTCCAACTCTGGAAGTCATCAGGAGGGGCCTGACTTGAAGAGAGGGGTGTGGGGGGCTGGGCAGTTCGGCCACAGTAGACCCCGGGCAGCATCTAACCTGCTGAAGGGCTTAAATCAATACGTTTCCAACACTCCCTCCATGTTTCCCCCAGCTACCATAAGAGACTCCCCCAAATTAACACTCGTAATGTTTCCCCCGGCACGCCAGGCTGATGGATCACCCAGGGCCATGACGGCCGGCCACATCTGCTTCTCACTACGGCAAGGAGAGCTGTGCCAACAGGCCTAATGACATTAAGATCACAACGCTGGCTAATCCGCTTAGATTAGAGGCCGGCGCTGGGCGAGGGTGTGACGGCTCGGAGAGCGACTCCCTGGGCAGGAGTCACAGGGGAGGCGGGAGGCGGCCTCACGCGGAGTCCCTGCTGTGTGCTTTCTGCCACATGGCACCGGCACCCACATGTTTAAAACCACGCTGAGAGGGAAGAGGCTGCCCTCGCTTCACAGGAGCGGAGCCTGACAGTCACACAGGTGGAAGAGTTCCCAAGTTCAGAGCGCAGCTCCTATGCCACGTGGACCCAAGGCCAGTCTTCATGCCTGGCCCCACTTCCCTCGGGTCTGGGGGTACACATGGCTTGTTCTTGGCGGGCCTGCTGGTGCTGGTTTGTTTGTGTGTCTACGAGTCTTTGCTTATTATATCGGGAGGATCTAAAAGACCCTAAAGCGGGGAAAACTCTAACAACCATTTCCGACTGGCCCACAAATTCTCCTCTTCCTAAACATTTCCGTGACCAAATCTAATAACATCACCACTAGCCTTCCACTGTTTCGGGAAGTTCTTTCTCTCATCTAACTTGGATTCTTCCTGCTGCAAAGCTGAACACAGTCTCTTCCTGGTAAAGAAAAATCACGCCTTGAGGACAAGAGTCCAAAGTGAGCTAGGAATTTAGAATTAAGCAGGTTTTTGCAAGTTTTCAGCCAAAGTTTCCGTGCTGACAATAAAGTACCGCAGGTTCCCTCCTTGCAGCTGCAGAGATAAACCTCACGTAGGCAAAACCCAACCATAGTTTTGCCAGAATGAGCGGGCAGAAGCAGCACACCGGGGCTTTTACGGGGAAATGGTAGCAAGGGGGATTTCTGAGTAGGCTGGCATGGAGTAACAGCATGGAATTTTCATTTTTGTGAGTGGGTTTCTTTTTCTCTCCCTTTTTTGTTTTTGGGGTTTTTTTTCAGGCAGCACAAAAGGCCTCTATCTGGAGAAGCTGGTCTCGGTGTCAGTAAGAGACAGTGTAGTAGATGCAGGTCCTTGGGCCTCGCTGGCCCCGACCACCACACACCTGGACCCCGGGCAGAAGCAGCACGCCCACAGCTCCGCTCCGCGGCAGCCCCAAGAGGCAGCCAGGCCGGAGCAGGCCGAGCAGCGAGCCGCCTGGTCACTGGCTGCAGGGAGCGAGAGCCGGCCGTCCTGCATTCCCCTCCCCTTCTGATCACACCAGGGGCCGAAGGGCCAAGCAGCATGCAATGGAGAGAAGGGTGCGAGTGGAGCCAGAGGCCTGGGCACAAGCCCTGGTGCCACCCTTGCCTGTCTTACCATGGACAAGTCCACTAACCACTGTGCTTCCCTCTGCCCATCTGGGATGCAAAACTAATATCCACCTTAGAGGGTGCCTCTAGGGTTTGGGAAGATTCTGAGGACGGATGGGCTTAGCACAGAACCTGATCTGTATCAAGCACTCAAAACAGCACTTGCTGAATTCACCCTTAGAACCCTGCTGCACGGGGGTGGGGAAAGGAAGGGCGCTCTGGAACGCGCCACACCCGCAGCCCGGACTGCCTCAGTGGGCGGTGCTGTGCCCCTCGTCTCTGCACGCCTGGCCATGCGGGCAGGCAACGGGACACGGCACCGTGAACCGCCTGGGCGCGGGGAGCTGGGGATGCTGGAGCGTGGCCCAGCTAAATTTAAATGAGAACCGCAATGACTCATCAGGCCTCGGGTCAATGGGACAAAGAGTCCCCCGGCCACCAAGGAACAAGAGATCAACTTCTGGGAAAACGCCGGTCTCACTGTGTACCAGCCCCACACTGGGCCCGAGGCAGGAGTTTTCTTGGTGCCGAAGGAACCAACGCCTCTGGGGAAAGTAGGACCTGGACCAGCACAAACATGTCTTCCACCTCGCACCACCAGTGTCCCCCGCGTCACAACAACAATGGCAATAAAAACACAGCAGCAGCCCTGGTGGGTGTGCTCAGTGGTTAGAGCATCGGCCTGCACACTGAAGGGTCATGGGTTTGAATGCCCCGTCATGGGCATGTACCTGGGTTTGCGGGTTCAATCACCGGCCCCAGTCACGGTGCATGCAGGAGGCAACCAATCGATGCGTCTCTCTCACACTGATGTTTCTCTCTCTCCTTCTCTCCCTCCCTCCCTTCCACTCTTTCTAAAAAAAAGCAATGGAAAAAATATCCTCAGGTGAGGATTTAAAAAACACACAAAATAATAGCAAACACATATGGAGCATTCACCCTATGCCACATTCCTTGAACCTTATAAATATTTAGTAATTAGTCCTTATAACTAACCAAGTGTTTGTCATTATTCCCATTTGACAAACAATCAAGCAGGCACAGAGAGGTTAGGTAAGGTAACCAGAGTCACACAGCTGCCAAATAGTGAAATTGGGGTCCTGACCCAAAAATAGTCTCATTTGCTCAAAATATGCATTTACTCTGTATAAAATGTGGGGTGGCCTGGCTGCGGTGGCTCAGTGGTTGAGCGTCGACCTTTGAACCAGGAGGTCACGGTTCGATTCCCGGTCAGGGCACAGGCCCGGTTGCGGGCTTGATCCCCAGTCATGCAGGAGGCAGCCAATCAATGATTCTCACTTATTATTGATGTTTCTATCTCTTTCTCCCTCTCTCTTCCTCTCTAAAAATCAATAAAGATATTTTTTAAATAAATAAACAAAACGTGGGGTGGGAGGTGGGGCAGTGGGGATGCCGCAGTACATTTTTCTTTCTATCAGAATAACCGCCATCGCGCCAGGCTCTCACCGAACCTGGCCAGCACAGAACCTGGCTAAGAAAACCTCCGTTACCGTGGAAAACTCAGAAACCCTCCACGGGGCAAACGGAGACACACCTGTATTTATTTAGCGGGACTCTGAAGTCTCACACTTGGCCTTTCCCTTGGACGTGTTTTAAAGTCATTAATTTACAAAACTGAAGTGATTGGAAATGTTTTTCTCCGGAATTAGCAACAAATCAACGAGTTGTGAATGGGGTTTAATTTTAACAGTTTAGGATAATCACTATCTTAGATTCATAAATAGTGTCCTTAGAGCAAGCGGCAGGGAAAGTGTTGCTGAGCTAAAGCTGTCTCCCACTCCCCGCAGCTCGCGGCACCAGCAGCGGTGACAGCAAATCAAACTGGAACTTCTCACTGAGATGAAAGAGCATACAAGTTTCCTCCACTGGAAATAAAGTACATCATCTTCAAAATTTCCCGGCGTTCAGCCTCGATCCCAGGTGACTCAGTAACCCTAAACAGGCTTCAGGATGTAGAAACGACGTCAGAGCAGACAGACTCGGCTCTAAGTGGCCCCTTCGTTAGCTGGAATCCAGATCCAAACCAGAGCAGAAGTCAATGAACCAAGAGGGCTTCATGAAGACGAAAGTGGGGATACAGGTGGTAAAAGAACTACGTTTTAAAGCGCTCAGCAATTCAGAAACAGTTTGTCCAAGTGCCTAAGTTTACAAATGAAGAAATTAAAGCTCGGGATGAAAAAAAGACTGACAATGGTGACGAGAGTTAAAAAAATAAAATAATAAAATAAATAAATAAATAAAATATAAACTAAAGGGCTGGGCCTCAAGGCCTGCCTCTCGGCAGCTGCAGACCCCACACACTCTCCTATCTGTACACCCAACGTCCTCTCCCAAAGACTGGATTTCCAGGAGCTCAGGAGGTTATAAACTTGAGCCATTCATCACCCCCAAAAGCATACTTCCTGGAAATAGAAATGGATTCAGAAAGGATTTGGGCAAATCTGTGAATGACAGAACAGCCATAAATAGATACTAAGAGGAGCTGGGCACCACCTGACCTTTAGGATTGACGTCAAGGAAGATAGCTGTAGCCTCCTATGGTGGCATCTCAGGGACAGGGTTGGCAACCGAAGACTAGGTCAGATGGAACTGACCCAAACGGCATGCACATGTTCTTATATGGCCTGGCGTGGAGCACCCGGGGCTGTGCCTTAGGTGGGGCTGGTCCTATCCATTTATAGCTATGCAACCGTGGGCAAGTCACTTACTGGCTCCACGCTGGCCCAGCCCGTTCTCCTCATCTGTGAACTGGAGCTGCTAATGGCCCTCAATCCCTTATCCAAAACCCTGAGGTGCTTCAGAAACCCAAATGGTTCAGATTCTACAAAGGCACTATGGGGCTGATCGTCTCTGCCCAGTCCCAGAGGAGTCTAAGGAAGCGCTCTGTAATCAAACACATCAATATTTTTGCAGCAAAACAAATGAATATTCAAAATAGACAGGAAAAACATAGCCTCACATCAGTTCAGATGAGGCTTTGCCACTAAATGAGTTTGCTGCAAACTTACAAAGAACCTATCCGCAGCTTGCAGAGTTCTTCAGACTTCATCATCACAGATACAGAATGATGATGGGCCTGCCTCCCCTTTGGGGAGGACTGAGGTTAAGCAACACAAAGTCAGTGAAGATGCTTTGCAAAGGAGAAAGTGCTACAACTGATAAAAGGCATTCATAACATTATTGCTGTTGCTACCATTACCCCACAGCATACTCTTTTCCAAACAGAACCTGGTTTGACCTCATGGGTGCCTAAAGCTGGTAGAATGATGCAAAGGGGCCAAGAGTTCAGGGCAACTGCTAACCTCCCCAAACTGGCCAAAACCAAGGTCAATGGCTATTGGCCCTCTCCATGGTCAATCACTGAAAACAGAGCAACTGGCCACCTGAGAGAGACCGAGGCAAAGGGCCAGGCAGAGCTCTGACATCTCAACTATATGGCTCAGGCACCCCAGAGCTGGGTCTAGGGAGCTGGCTGAGACCGTTCCTTCTGGTTCCTGAGCGTCTCTGCAGGAGCCAGGCAAGAGACCCTGCTCTGTGTGTGCAGGACACGCACGGTCGCTGGCCTGAGGGTTTGTCTGTAGAAGATCCAGCATCCTAGGAAGCCAGATCCCACGCTGATCCTGCAGCACTGAGTTCAGAAACATCTTACGACCAGGCTGTATGAGCCTGGGGAGGCTGAGGGCTACCACTGACGACTGTGTTCCCACTTAGGTGAACATACACATCACATCCGTATGCACTCTGAGAAGGAGAAGGTGCGTCTGCCCACGGGAGCCGCCCCCAGAGCAGATCGAGACAAACCTACGTGCAGCACTGCTCCAGCCTTTCAGAGGAGAAAGGGAAGGAAGACAGACTGAGCCTAGCCCAGTGACGGCGAACCTTTTGAGCTCGGCGAGTCAGCATTTTGAAAAACCCTAACTTAACTCTGGTGCCGTGTCACCTAGAGAAATTTTTTGATATTTGCAACCATAGTAAAACAAAGACTTACATTTTTGATATTTATTTTATATATTTAAATGCCATTTAACAAAGAAGAATGAACCAAAAAAATGAGTTCGCGTGTCACAGGTTCGCCATCACTGGCCTAGAGAGAGATTCCAGTCTTCCAGAAGCTTACTGTGGCCCTCCCAACATCACCCTCCCTCCCTCAGTCGTATCTTCTATAATGTGGGCCTCCTGGGGAAGGCGTGGGGGCCCAGAGCTTGCTCCTCCGTCTGCCTGAGAATGCTGCCGATCAGGTCTTCTAACTGTTCTGACTTCCTCTGGACCCTTAGGGAAGTCAGCCCCATTTGATTTATTCAGGTAGTGTCTTTGTCTGGCCTTTCCTTCCATCCAGGACTACATTTAACATTGTTTTTACACCTCGCTGTGCACTGTAGGGACCACAACTTCACTAGGTTTCATTCCAACTTTCTGTCATGCTAACAGGCTCCTCTCTCACCAGCTTGGGGCCCAGTCACGAGGAATCCTACTGATGGCATTCCATAACAAGCTCTCCTTCCTGCACCACTTCCCAGCAAGCTCCCCTTCCTTCCTCTCCATGCTCTTGTGCTCCCCAACAACTGCAAGGGACTTAACCTTTACCAACACTCTAGCCTATGGGCTTAAAAACAAAATGGGGGGGGGGGTGGTAAGAGATCAACCAAAGGACTTGTATGCATGCACATGAGCATAACCAATGGACACAAACAGTAGGGGGGTGAGGGCATGTGCTGGGGGGTGGGAGCGGCTGGGGAGAGGTCAATGGGGGGGAGACTTACGTAATACTTTAAACAATAAAGAATTTAAATTAAAATGTTTAAAAAGACTAAATAAATAAATAAAATAAAACCTGCCCAATTGGCATGGCTCAGTGGTTGAGCCTCAACCTGTGAACCAGAAGGTCACAGTTCGATTCCCGGCCAGGGCACACGCCCGGGTTATGGGCTCCATCCCCAGCCAATTCAGTGATTCTCTCTCATCATGGATGTTTCTATCTCTCTCTCCCTCTCCCTTCCTCTCTGAAATCAATAAAAATATATTTAAAAATAAAGTAAATCTGTCGCCTGTTATTTCACTATGTTCATCACTATTATATTATAGCCAATTCCATCTCCTGATGTCAGAGTCTCCCACTGATTGTTTTGTGTTGCTTCTCTGTTTTTGCTGGTAGCTGGGATGTGGGGGAGGAACAGGGAACAGTAGGAAGTAGGGAAGTAGCACCTTAATCCAGGTGCTCTGAGGGGGTTGGGGCGGGTAAGGCCGTCCGACCAGGAGCTGCGGGGCTGCCAGTCTTAGGAGGGCCGGGCTGCACAGGAGCACTGTGTCTCCTCCTTGATTTCTCTAGACCCTCGTGGCTTTCCACCCTGGCACTGCCCCAGGCCCTGGTTTCCTGGGTTGCAGCAGCTTACTCTCCACCCTCAGTCAAAGCACATTCTCCATGCCAGCAGCCCACAGCGTGACACCAAGGGCCCAGGACCAGCGCCTCAGCACCCCAAGTCCACGGGACAGGGCCACTCCCCACAGCACCCGCAGCCAGCACAGCCCCGGGACGGCCGCGCTGTGGACACTCGCACTGGAGCTCGGATCCAACGGGGTTAGGCAGACGTGAGACCAAACAAGACGGGGGAAGAGGGTCAGTTCTTCACCTTCACAGTTATTGGGTACTGTCTCAAGTCTAGGGACTTCTAGCTACTACTTCATTAATTCAGCACCACACCCTGCTAACCACCTCCATTTTTAAAAGTAACCCAAGAAAAATATTTTGTTAATAAATAAATAAAAAGTAACACAGGGCTCAGAAAGGTTTCCTAAACTCCAGTTTCACCACCTCGATCACTCCGGGAAGTATCGCACCACCAGGCCCCAGCCCCTCCCAGGGGGACCGAGGGTCCCGCAGGACGGGAACTCGGAAGTCCTGGGCGGGTGGCAGCTTCGTAGCCCCCTCAGTCAAGAGAGGCAGCCGGGCCTGAGGAGCGCCAGCGCAGCGTTTCCTTCCCACCAGAGCCCACTTCTCACAGCACAACACTGAAATCATTCACATCCGGAGACGATGAGAAACGTACCTGGTCAAGTTTGAGGAGGGGGTTTCCTCTTGAGGAAAGTTTGAGCAAAAACAAACACGAACTCGGTCTACTTCTGAGCGGCACAAGCATCAAGGCACACCTTAGCGGTGGTTATTTTTCCGCACCCGCCGGAAAACTCGGCTAACGTTTAGCTCAGCAACACTTTCCACGAGGTCAGTAACCCTCAGAGCCACGATTAGGTACCGTCACTGTCGGAGTCCGCCTCAGCTTGGGGTCATCAGACAAACCTCCAGACGCCCCCCTCTGGCCCACACCCCCTCGGTCACATCCCCTCCTACACTAATGAGAAATGGAGGAAAGGGGTAGACAGAGAGGGGTGCAAAAGTGGGGATCCCCCAAGAACAGACAAAGAGCAGGCAAAAGGGCACACAGGCAAATGTTATCACAATGACGACAGAAACTGGACTTCTCCATACCACTCATCAGAACCGGGGGTTGGAGGGTAAAATGATGGGCATGTCCTTATGACAGATGCAGGCAAACACCAGACCCTACTGATGAGGAATCTTCAGAACCCTCTGTGCTATGGGCACAATCCTCTTCAGGACTGAATGACTCCAAAAGGCAGCAAAGGGCTTTGGAGCTGAATTTGAATCCAGCTCTGCCTCCTACTTTCTCTGCGATCCTGGCAAAAGGTCTCCGTGTCTTCCCACGTGAAGGGAGCACATGGCCTGTCTCAGAGGGTCGTAACGAAGACGTGACTCCACAGCAAGCACTTAGTGTTGGGGCAGACACGTCCTAAGCGCGCAATGGTTATTTCACAGAGAAGGGACAGAAGCCAGACGAAGCCAACGCTGGCCCCAAGTCTCTCATACCCATCCTTCCCCCTTCATATGTAAATCGACTCCTTCTAAATGTGTTTCTGGAAACAGAGAATGGGAAGGGAGAGAGGAAGCCACATTCCTGGTGATGAACGTTCACCAGGAATGACGTTCGGACCAGCAGCTGCTCTCAAGCACTAAGCAGCGTGCGGCCCCTCCCGTCCTCCTGAGCTGCAGACGGCCTGCCTCGGCAGAGACCACTGATGGGAACCACAGAGACCACTGATGGGAACCGAGTACCTGAAACCTGGCGGCATGGCCAGATCCAGGCCGTGGGACACCTTCATCCTCAACCCCACCTTTTCTTCTCCCTCCCTCCACGTTATCAGCCACTCCAGGCAAAAGAGAACAGGTCCAACAGCAGAACAAGCAGATGGGAGCCCGAAAGCAGAAATCGTCAAGAGCCTAGTAAGATCTGGGTCCGTGCGTTCCCCAACACGTAGGCAACACCCTAGGCCCCTCACCACACTTGGAAGGCATACCCCAGTCCCAAGACTTAGAAAGACGTGGGTTTTTTACAAATAGCAGGGAGGACAGGGGAGTCGGGCCCCAGGACACGGGAGCAGCCAGGGATGAGGGCAGGCTGCCAGGGCCAGAGGTTGGGGCTGGGTGACACTGGGGCTGGCGAGGGACCTACCTGTGCTGCTCCACAGCCTCGTTGTCAGGAAGATCCACCCCACACACGCTGCACGGCTCCCCGAGGGTCCGGCTCTCCGACTTCATGCCCACAGCCAGCTCGCCCAGCTTGCTGAACAGCTCCCTCTGGATGAAGCCCTGCGGCAGCAGGCTCCCGTAGGTGCTGAAGTCCATGGACACAGCCAGAGCGGGCTGCACCTGCACGTGGAGCCCGGAGGACACCGACGACGGCATGTTCAGCACAGAGTCAGCCTTGTGGTTGGGCAACACGGAGTAGACGCCCAGGTGTTTCTCTGCGGTGGGCGCCAGGTGCTCCTGTCGGCCTGGGGGACCCTGGCCGGCCTCCGCGGGGGTTGGCAGCTGCTCGGCACTCTCCTCGCGCCCATAGTGCAGCTCTCTCGCACTGGTAATGACGCTGCTGCGAGTTGGGGTCCCGGGCCCCTCTTTGCCCCTTTCCTCAACCTTGTCCCCCAATCCGCCTGAAATGCTGGATTCGGCTGCCCCAGGGCTGTCCTGGCTGGGCACCTCGTCCACCTGCATCATCTCTGTCTTCACCTCAGCTACCCCAGGGAGCCGCCCAGCCCCAGCCAGAGTAGGTTCGTCAGGCCCTGCAGGGGGCTGAAGAGTTCCCTGCAGGAGAGACTGTCCTATGGTCATCAAACTGTCCACTGCGGCCTTGGTGGGACTCATGGCTGAAAGACCAAATGAGGTGGACATGGACGGGCTCTGGTCCGCCATGGGCCCAGGGAGGCTCTGCGCAGCCACGCCGGCATACCCACTCTCCTCGCTGGAATGCTTCGAGATGAAGATGTTCTTGAGGTACCGAGGCTTGCGGTCCTCTTCTTCCTCCGCCCCGCCGTCTGCCATGGTGGCCTCCGTGTCATTGTCGTCTGTGGCCTGGATGGTCTCCAGGATCTTCAGGCACTGCTCCTCCAGGTACTCGATCTCCAAGATCTCGGCGGCGTACAGCAGGTCATCCAGGTCCTCCGCCTTGGCCTGCAGCGTGGCTGTGTAGGCATACTCCAGGATCTGCTGGAAAGTCTTTGGCGAGAGGAAGTCCAGAGTGTAGTGCTGGCTGTTGCGGTGGAAGAGGATCTCAAACATCTTGCTGGTGCAGGCCAGCACGGTCCGGTGGGCATGGAACTCCTGGCTGTCCACCATGATGACCACGTCGCACAGCGTCCCGGCCAGCCGCATCTGGTTGGCCTTGCACAGGAGCCCCGAAGGGTGGCTGGGGTTCTGCAGCTGGATCATGCCCATCTTTGTCAGATCCATGGTGCTCCCCGCGGCTTAGGCATGAGGCTCTCTTTCCTTCCAGGCTCTGTGTGGTGGGGCGGGCTGGGTTTCGTGGGCTAGGAGGGAGAAAGGGGGAAGACGCAAAAGAGATGACAGAATAAAAGCTAGATTAGTCAGTGTCCCTAAAAGAATTCAAACAATACAACCCCACCCTCATTCAACCAGCAAGAGCATCCTGGAGATTTTAACAGAGGGCAAGGGGCTTCCTAGAAATCTAGGAGTCTGCCTTTACTTTACAAACCCACCAATGAGAGCAAAGATAAATTTCTGCCATAACATATGCCTAATTCACTGATGAAGTAAAATGAAAATTACAATGGAGTCTTCAGAGCCCTGGTCTTAAATCTAAGAGTTGGGGGGGGGGGGGCAGGGGGCCTGTGCAAGGCCAACATGTTATAAGGAGGTGCCCAGCACTTGCTGAAAATCAGTAACAATTGAGCCACTTCCTTGGGTCAAATTAAGCCCTCAGTTTCACTCTCAGCCCCCTGTGCAGCAAACTTCATCTTCAAAGTAACGTTTTTCTGAACCCTGCTTCACTGTGGTGGCCCCAGGAGCAAAGCCAAGCCTCGCTGGGGCTAGCAGCCTGCAGTCTGGCCCACAGACATCCAAGGGCAAGGGCTCTTCTTCAGGCCCATCCTAACACATGGGTGCACACTTATGTAAGATGCCTCACTCACCCCTGCCCACGGGGCCCAGTGGACAAGAGGACCTATAAAATGTAGGTGGGCAGGTCGTGGAGGACCTCAGAAGAGAGGTCATAGGAAATATGGACCCTCACAGCCAGGAGTGCAATCTAGACATATGAACTCCCAGTGTGTCCCGCGGGCTCTCTGGAGTGGGCAAGTCCTGTGACCAGGAGCAGCAACTGCTGCTGGGCATGGCTCCCGGTGCTAGAAGTGACGCTGGCACCAGCATCTATGGTGCGAGTTACAACCAGTATGAAGGGAAGACAGGGCTGGGAGACAAAGGTCTACCCCACAGCAAGCTGTTCAGGATCAATAACAGCCCCCCCCCCCCAACCGCTTAAAGACTTGGAAAGACCTGGCAGGCCCAGTACCCTCCAGCCTCTGCCTTGCTGTGGTCAAGAAATGAACTGGGAGCAAAGCGGAGCAAGGGTTCTCCCTAAATCTCCCAACACTACTTGCTTCTGTCCCCAGAAGGAGCCCTACGGGTTCCAGAGCCAAAAGCGCCCGCAGGTAGGGTAGCAGTACGTCTCATCAAGCCCGCTGGCTGCCCAGCCTGGGGTGGGGACTGAGGCCATTCATCCTCCCCTATGGCTTTTCCACAGACTGCTTAGGGGTTTCCGAGAGCAATGCAACGAATGCAAGCTGGGCTACTGAATTCCTTCCCAAAAACAAGCTCCTTGGGTACTAAGGGGAATCTGGGTGCCCTCAGTCAGCCGTGCCTGCGACCCGCGGCTCAGCGCGGCGATCCTGGCGGCGCCGTCTGCAGCGCCCACCCCGGCGCAGCGGTGGAAAGCCGGCGCTCACCCGCCCGAGCTCTAGGGATCGACCGCGCTCACACACCCCGTTCCCAGCCACCCCCACGGAGACTTGGAGACGACTTCGGCAAACTTGGAGAAGCAACTTTTCCCGGGGATCCAGACGGCAGAAAGGAAGGGAGCCAGTCTAGGGACGAGGAAAAGCAAAAAGGGACCCGGACGAAAAGCTAGAGTCCGGGCGGGCCGGGCGCCGGAGCAAGAGCCGGGAGGTGGACCGCCTCGCCGCTAAGGGGAAGCACAAAAGCCCCACCGAGAGTTGTGGGAGGGAAGGCAAGGAAGGATCGGCCGGCCCTCCCTCTCCGACCCAGGGCCGTGACCCCCGGGAGCGAAGGGCAGGATCCCCGGCCGCGAGCCGGCGCCGCCAGCAGCGGTGTGCCCGGCCCCGGCACCGTGCGCGCGTCCCGGGGAGCGGGCCAGGGAGTCCGCGCCGAGGACGTCTGAGCGCTCCCGCGGGTCCGCAGGCCGGGAAGACCGTGCGCGTTTCCACCGCCCGCGGGAGCGTCCCGGGGCCGAGAGGGCGAGCTGCGGGCGCGCCGGGTGGGAAAGGCGCCCGAACGCATCAGGTGCAGAGCCTGGCACCCACCAAGTGCGGCCGGGAGCGCACAGCCAGTTCCGGCGTCACGGCCAGTCCCGCTGGGCGCCGAGGGCCCGGAGCCCTGGGCGCTGCGGAGCTCCGCCACGGCCGCCCACCCTCCTAAAAAGAGGGGACCGAGTCTAACCAAGAAAGAAGGGCCCACCACGTTCTCCAAAGAGAAACAAAACCCAAGCGAGTCCCAGTCCTGCTCCCCTCCGCCCCCAGGTCCACTCCTCGGATCCTCCGGTGATAGCTTCCCAGCCGGCCGGCGAATAAACACAAATAAGCCACAACCCTCTCTCGCGCCCGCGCACCGGTCCGCATGCATATGAGCGCCCACCGCTCCCGGCACCCCCAAGCCTCGTGAACCCCAACCTTCCGCTCCCGCCCTCAGTCCCCGAAGACCGCTCGGCCGCCACCTCTCACCCCGACCGTGCCCTGGAGTGGAAAGGTTGGGGTGGCAGCTGTGCCCAAGCTGACAGCCGGGGCTCCCCCTTCTACCCGACCCCGACTGGCGGCGGCGGCGGCGGCTGCAGCAGCAGGAAGGGAACCAGCCGAATAAAATCAGGCGCTAGCCCAGCGGCCGAGTGGCCGAAGCGAACGCGCCCCCCAGACCTCTGCAACCCCGGGCGCCTCGGCAGAGGCTTCCCCTGGGCAGCGCGCCCCTCCCCGGCCCCCCAGCTCACCGCGGCCGCGCCGGGCGCTGTGGGGTGGGCGTGCGTGCCTCCGGGGGTGTGCCAGTGTCGGGGAGCGGGGCTGCGGGAGAACTGTTGCTCTCCGTCTCACGGCGGCAGCAGCGGCGTCGCCCGGCAGTTCGCAGTACCCGCTCTCATCGCCCTCAACTCCTCTCTGCTGTGAGGTTAGCAAATCACCACCGGCTTCGGCGCCTCCGCCGCGTCCCACGTCAACGCCGAGCCCCCTCCCCTGCGAGGCCCCGGCGCCTCTCCATCTTTAGTGCTGGCGGCGGAGCCGGGCTCCCTGCCCACAGCTCCCCCCTCCCTCCCCCCTCCCGCTGTCCCCCGGCTCAGCCCGTCCCCACCCCCCACACACACCTCCCCCGCACTGGGCGCACGCTCCCGCCCCACCCCTTCCCTCCCCTCCCATCCCCTCCCTTCCGCGCGCCGCGCTCCGGGCTTCGCCTGACATCTAGCTGCTGCTGGGGCGCCGGCGGCCGCCGTCACCGGCCAAGCGGGGAGGAAAGGACCTCACGGAGGACAGCGCCAGGGGCTCGGAGCCCTTAGCGGGGCGGTAGAGATGAGGTTCGGGGGCCAGCCCCGCCTTCAACCCCCGGGTTTTTCCTTTCCCGCGGACACGGTTTCCCCCCTGCTGCTCCAGGAGGGGAGTTTCGTCCCGGGCTCCAATGTTCGCCCCAGTTCCGTGCGTGTCATCTCGCCTTTCACTTTTGCTCCAGGCTCAGGGCTGCGTCCCCTGTAACCCGAGGTCGGTTTGGGAAGGTCGCCTACCCAGCCCAAGCTCAGGCCCTGCGTGCCTGCAGGCCGCCGTGTGCCTCTGGGAGAGGAGCAACCAAATTGACTAGCCAAGTGCCAGAGGGCCCGCGGGACCCGTCCCTGGAGGCAGACGTCCCATTTGGGCTGTCGCGATCCCTGGGGACTGAGGTCGAAGCCTGGGAGAAACTTTCAGCCTTCTCAGTCTTACGCGTGCCCTCGGCTGTGCCCCCCAGGTGACCTGGCTGGAAACAGTTCCCGAGCGCTGCGCCCCGCTCGGCGCAGTCTTCAGGGGGCGGTGGAAGCTTGCCCAAGTCCAGGCCGGCAAAGCGCCCCCTCCCGGCCGGCCGCTCCACTTCAGAGTGGAGATCACTAACCTGGGGTCAGAGCAACCAGAAGGAATCTGTCCGCCTCGGCGGCGCGGAGTCCCCTTCTGCCCCTTCCCCTGCGAAGGTAGGGGGCCAAAGAGTGGGAAGCGCGCAGCTGCGTGAAGGCAGGGGTGACCCACTACGTTCAGGAGCAGAGGCTGGGGTGGGGGTAGGGGTGGGTTGGGGAGGGGGAGGGCTATCTCCGGGTCTGTGGACAGTCAGCCCCCGAGGTCATGCAAGTCTTAGCAAAGCCAGATCTCAATCTGGGAGTCCTGAGCCTCTACATTCTGCCCCTGGCACGCGGGCGGGTCAAAGGCCTTCCGCAATACTCACGGATAATCGCCTCCCGATGTGTGCCTCTGGCACCGCGCCAGGCCGAGCGTCCGGCCCAGGAGCTGTAGGGTCAAGGAAGGTGGCAGAAGCCAACTAGAGACAAGAATCCGCTTCCGGGTGCGAAAGGCCAGAAGGCAGAGTTTACAAATCAACTGATCTGCGTTCCCAAGAGTTACTAACGGGGTAGTCCCCGGACAGCCCGCTCCAGCCCAGCCAGCACCGCTCCTGCCTCTCTCCAGGGCAGTGCTGGGACCTGCCGCGTCCGGGAAGGGGGGAGGGTAGCCGGGGCCAGAGAGGCCGCTTGGAACCGCAATGCCCACCTGGTGCCCGGGAAAGCCCAGGCCCTGGGTGTTCCTTTTCATTAACAATAAAGAGCAATCCTGGCATTGAAGACTTTCCTAGCCAAAGACTATGCAGTCTGGTAAGAGGAAAGGGATGTCAGGCAAGTTAAGAAAACTGGTCTGCAAGGAGAGCAAGTGGGGAGAGATGTCGGAAGAGGAGAAAAGGCCCTCCTACCTCCTCACCAGGGAAGTAGGGAATCCTTACACTTGTGTTCCTGGTGTCTACTGAAGGTTGCGGCCTGGCTGTCCACACCACTGCCAGCCGCTCCCAAATGCAGTGGCAGGAGAAGCACAGGCTTAGCCCTTGGTACTAGACCTATTAATAATCCTCCAATCAGAGAAAGAATCCCTGTGAACAATGGGAGAGAAAGAATAATTCCTCCCTGGCTCGGACTCCCCACACCGCCATACCATACTCACTCTATGTGAAAATCTCCCTTGCTTCATAAACTCTGCCATTAAAAAGCCCAGCCCTTGTTAGAAAGTGTTAAAGAGAGATTAATGTCTGAGTTTAAGAGGTGGAGAAGGTAACAAAAAGGAGGAAGGCAGGCTGCGTGCCAGCGCTGGGCTCTGAGCATTTCCACTTAGCACTGGAGACTGGCTGCACAGCAGTTTGATAAGGTTTATTGGGCCCAGATAACGCGGTGGCAGCTCTACCACCAACACCAGCACCGTTTACGTCCTTGGGGCCCAGGAAGGCTGATGAGAATCCCCACTTCAGGGATTTCATATGGCAGCACCTAAACAAGAGGGTGGAAAATTACAAGTGCGCTCACGCACGCTCTCTCTCTCCTCTCTCTAATATATATTTGTACTGATTTCTTTTTCCTTTTTTATTTATTTGAGAGAGAGAGAGAGAGAGGAAGGGGGAGAGAGAGAAACATGGCTTGGCTGACACCGTACACGCCCAACCGAGATGGAACCCGAAACCTGAGTTTGTGCCCTAGCCAGGAATTAAACCCCTTACCTCTTGGTGGTGGGGACCACACCCAGACCAACTGAGCCACACCAGTCAGGGCTTTCCTTTCTTCCTTGAAGGGTAAGGGAAGGGAAGCTGGGACATCCGTCCTAAAAATAGAAGCGCCCTCAGTCTGGAGGGAGGTCATGCTGGAGACAAGGGAACAGATGAGTTCACCTTTGGATGGAATTCCACTGCTAAATCTTCCTCTTTTATTCATATACCTCCCACTGGTAGCAACCGGCCAGAGCTGGGATTGTAGAAAAGGAGGGTGTGTAGGTCTAAGGCAGTGGTTCTCAAACTTCTGGCCCTTTAAATACAGTTCCTCACGTTGTGACCCAACCATAAAATTATTTTCGTTGCTACTTCATCACTGTAATGTTGCTACTGTTATGAATCGTAATGTAAATATCTGATATGCAGGATGGTCTTAGGCGACCCCTGTGAAAGGGTCATTCAACCGCCAAAGGGCCGGCGACCCACAGGTGGAGAACCGCTGGTCTAAGGGATCTTACAGGGAGGAGACAGTGCGAACAACTCTTTCTGAGCACTGACTAGGAATCTTTTTTTAATAATATATCTATATATTTTATTGATTTTTTACAGAGAGGAAGGGAGAGGGATAGAGAGTTAGAAACATCCATGAGAGAGAAACATCGATCAGCTGCCTCCTGCACACCTCCTACTGGGGATGTGCCCGCAACCAAGGTACATGCCCTTGACCAGAATCGAACCTGGGACTCTTCAGTCCACAGGCCGACGCTCTAGCCACTGAGGCAAACTGGTCAGGGCTGACTAGGAATCTTAACACATTACCTATGCTGTTCTATTTCATGCATATAACAGCCCTATTCAGGCAGGCACTGTTTTTTTCCCAGTTTCTGCAGATAAGAAAAGAGACTCAAAGAGATGGAGTGTGTTATCCAAGACTATAGAATTCATGAAACATCAGAGCTGAGGCTTAAAATCCGGCCATTCTAACTGCGAAGTTCTTAACCTTAGATTATACGGCCTCCGGTGGCTAGAAAGGGGGAGCCAGGGCTTTTAATGTCCTTCTCTTCTCCACCGAGGTCAAGTGCTGTGCGGCAGAGGCCCAAACAGTCCTCCAGGACTGTGGAACCAGGCCCCCAGGTAAATAGACTTGCATCCGCCAGGATCTCTGCTCTTTCCCGCCTTCCTCAAAATCTCAGGCAGAAGTCGACGAGGAAGTTTTGAATTACAATAAAACTTGCCCTAAACAGAGACCCAGGAAGAAGGCTATAGGGGTGTTTTGAGTATTCTGATTGAGTATTAATGGAATGCAGCAACTCATTTTATTCCAGCTCATTTGGAAAACAGTTTTGCAAGAGGCAAGCTTTCTTACCATGATAAATAAATCAAGGACTCCTCCCTTTGAGGAGAAAAAGCTACTTTGCATTTCCCCAAACCTCGTGATGAGTGAGTGGGGGGTGAAGCACTTGCAGAGAAAGATGCAGGCGGTGGAGCCAGTCCCCACTACAACGGAGAGGTGACCACTGGGGGTGACCTGGCGTTCTCAGTGCTCTCAGGTCACCTCACTGGGGACCATGCGGGAAGACACAGCAGACCTTTCTAACAGCAAAGGACCTTACAGCACTTCAAGGTCATCACTGCTGATATCTCCCAGCTAGGTGCAGAGGAGGTGAAAAATTAGGCAGTCTGCCCAGTGTGGCAGTTGGGTTGAGCACCTCCGGTTCGATTCCAGATCAGGGCACCTGCCTGGGTTTCGGGCTTGATCCCCAGTAGGGGGCATGCAGGAGGCAGTCCATGTTTCTATCTCTCCTCCCTTCTCTGTGAAATCAATAAGAAACATTTTTTTTTTTTAATTAGGCAGAGTACTGGCTGCTCGCTCAGTGGTTAGAGCATCGGCCCGTGGACCAAAAGGTGGCAAGGTTCTATTCCGGTCAAGGGCACATACTTCAGTTGCAGGTTCCCTAGCCCCGGGTAGGGGCACATGTGGAGGCAACCAAACGATGTGTCTCTCTCACATGAATGTTTCTCTCTCCCCCTCGTACCTCCCTTTCACTCTGTCTAGAAATCAACGGGAAAGATATCCTCAGGTAAGGATTATTTTAAAAAATTAGGCAGAGTTGAATTTGCCCTCAGTGCATATCGGATGGGGCAAAAGTAGGCCTACAGTTGCTCATACGGAAAATAATACAAGAATAAACTGTTTCGTGTACTCATAACTGTGAACCTACCTTTGCCCCACCCGGCATGTTGATAGGTTTCTTTGGTGTTTGCCTTTTTTAAAATGTTAATTCTTTTTTTTTTCCCAATATATTTTTATTGATTTCAGAGAGGAAAGGAGAGGGAGAAAGAGGAAGAAAAAACATCAATTATGAGAGACACATTAATTGGTTGCCTTCTGCATGTACCCCGACTAGGCCCAGGGAGTGGAGCCTGGAACTGAGGCAGGTGCCCTTGACTGGAATCGAACCCAGGACCCTTCAGTCTGCAGTCCGACGCTCTATCCACTGAGCCAAACCAGCCAGGGCTAAATGTTAATTCTCTTAAGTCA